GCCAAGCTTCAGAATTATGTTTCTGATTTACTCCAACAAAATTAACTTATATGGAAGTGTAACTATGTGATTCAAATGTGGCTATTATAAAGAATATTTCAGTTATGATAGTTCCCCATGGATTTCCTCCATTGGCTTCTCAATGTGTATAGTTTTGTGCATGTTTATTGTTCTGCCAGGAAAATTCTGAATTATATACTCACAAGCAGCATGATAAAACAGGATAAAATACTTTGGCAGTGAACAGGTGGAAGAGAAGTCTATATGGAGTTAGAGGATGTAAATATTTAAGTCTAAACTTATTTGACTTAATAATAATTATCCATTCCAGTTGTTATAGCTAGTTAGCACATACTTTTAAGTAATTGTTAGTAACTACTAATATTTATATTCGTGGCCTTTTGAAGAATCTTTCTCAACTTCTAAACCAAGAAATTTGCAGCTTTGGTTAGTGAAGGAACTCTATAATGAAATAGATCTTGAACCTTTTAACACTGCAGATGTAAGAGTAGACTTGAAATAGTGTGTTCTTTTTAGCTATTGTTTCTTGAAGTATTGCGTTTAATCCACCACCAGAACCCTCAAGACCTTTTCTGTAGGATTGCTCTCACAGAATTATGGTATCTTGCACTTGGTCTTGTAGAACCTCTTTTGATTTGCATGTGCCCACTTTTGAAGCTTGTTCAGGTCTCTTTGGGTGATTGTGTTGACTTCAGCACTGAGCTGGGTTTTAATAGCAAACTTGCTGAGAATACACTTGATCCCACTGTTAATCTCACTGATAATGTTGTTGAAGACCACTGGTCCCAAGATGGACCCCTGGGTAATACCATTCCTCAGTGGTCTCCATGTGGACATACAGCGTTGACCACAGCCTGGCACCATCAAAGAATTCTTTATCCATTGAATAGTGCAGTCTTCAAATCTGTATCTTTCCAATTTTGAGATAGGAATGTGATGTGGGACAACATCAAAAGCTTTGCAGAGAAAAAGATTGCTCAGTAGTTAATGAGAAAGTATCAAATGCAATATTATTTCTTTTCAGAGGTTACCTTTTATGACTGTAGTTTTGTACAGAGTTTTTAATGAATTATTTAGAGGACTCTATAGTTACATAAGATCACTAGAATGCAGACAACTTGCATTTTCCTTTGAGAATGTTAGTATCTGCAACATCTAAATTGTTTGTATGAACTTCGTGACACACACCTGAGAAACTATTTCTTGGTTGAATTTTCTGGATCTAACTTTAGTATTTTATGCTGGTCTTTCATTCATCATAAAATCATCTCCAAACAGAAAGTAAATTCTGTTCAGACAGTCCCCAAAAGTAATTGCGCTTATTTTATTATGCTGATCCATAACATCAGAGATGAATATTGATGGTATGGCAGTGGAGGTTGAACCATCTTGCTGATATTCCATTACATATTGTTGCCATGTGACAGATGGCAGCAGAGGGGCAATCTGCCAAGCGGTAACTAATATGGAAGCGTGTTTGATGCAGTGAGTGTCACTGAATTTCTTCACATGAAGACAACGGTTCTCATTGAAATTTATCAACACTTTATGAATTTTTATTGTGACCAGACAGTGGATATGAGCACAGTGGATGGTGTCTTTTGCTGGTGACAGCGATATAAAATACAAACCAAGTTCTGCTGCAGGTAGCCTGCTTTCCAGGGGGACTGGACTCAGTGATCTCTGGAGATTCCTTCCAGCCCCTGCAATTCTGTGTTTCTGTTATTCTGGACTCTTCAGGGAACAGCTTGGCAGGGTGACATAGGATAAAGTCCTCAAGGGAAAAGAGACCCAGGAAAACCAGTCAGTACAGACCATGTCCTCTAAGCTCAGAAACAGTGCATTCTGAGAAAAAGGAAGGCAGACAAGAATGCCAGGAGGCCTCTGTGGATCAACAAGGAGCTTCTGGACTTACTTAAGCTCAAAAATGAAGTTCTGTAGGGAGTGGAAGCAAGAACAGGTTACCTGGGAGGACAGCAAAGTAGTTGTCCGAGAGGCCTGGGATCAGGTTAGGAAAGCTAAAACCTGGACAGAATTAAATCTAGCAAGGGACATAAAGGGGAACAAGAAAAAATTGTACAGGTATATCAGTGATAAAAGGAAGGCCAGGGAAGATGTGGGTCCTCTCTGGAAGGAAACTGGAGACCTGGAGATCACAGGGATAAGGAGAAAACCAAGGTGTTCAGTGACTTTCTTGCTTCAGTCTTCTCCAGCAAGGACTGTAGCCACACTGCTCTTCTTTTCTAAAGAAAGCAAAGATAAGAACTTGGAGAAGGAAGATCTGCCTGCTGTAAGTGAAGGTTGATTCTGAGACCATCTAAAGAACCTGGAGGTGCACAAGTCCCTGGGACCCCATGATAGAACAGGCAGATGAAGTCACCAAGCTGCTGTTCATCATACTTAAGAGTCGTGGCAGTCTGGTGAAGTTCCCACTGATGGGAAAAGGAGAAGCATAACCCCCATTTTCAAAACGGGGGAAAAAGAACATCCAGGGAGCTACAGGGCAGTCGGTCTCATCTCTGTGCCTGGCAAGATTACAGAGCAGATCCTCCTGAAGACCCTATGAGGAAAGTAAAGATGAGGCAGTTGGTGGTAACCAACATGGCTTCACGAAGGGCAAGTCATGCCTGTCAAACCTGGTGACCTTTTATGATGGAGTTACAGTGTCAGTGAATAAGAGAAGAGCAACTGATGTCATGTACCTGGGCTTGTGCCAGGCATTTGACACTGTCCCACATGACATCCTGGTCACCACAGTGGAGAAAAATGGATGTGATGGATGGACCTCTTGCTCGATAAGGAACTGGCAGGATGGCCGCACTCGGAGAGTTGTGGTCAGCGGTTCATAGTCCAAGAACAGACTGGTGATGAGTGGTTCCTCAGGGATCACTGCTCGGACCAGTGTTATTTAACATCTTTGTAGGTGGCATGGACAGTGGGATGCAAAAACTCAGCGAGTTTGCATATGACACCAAGCTGAGTGGTGCAGTTAACATGCTAGAGGAACAGATGCCATCCAGAGGGACCTGGATGTTTGACACTTTGACTGATGAGTCCACGGCAACCTCATGAAGTTCAACAAGACAATTGCAAGGTCCTGCATTTGCATCAAGACAATCCCAAGTACAGATACAGGTTGGGTGGAGAATGGCTTGAGAGAAGCTCTGAGGAGAAGGCTATTGGTTGATGAAAGATTCAGCATGAACCGGCAGTGTGCACTTGCAGATGGAGTCTGGGCTGCATCAAGAGAAGTGTGAACAGCAGGTCAAGGAGCTGATTCTGCCCCTCTGCTCTCGTGGTTCTTAATACCATCTCCATCCATGTCATCATCACAAGCATCTCCTTTCCCATCACCATCTGTGTCCCTCTGGTCATTATTCAGGACACTGCAGCAGTTGTCACAGGCATCTCCAGAGATATCTTCATCACTATTTCTCTGGTTAACACTGGGGGTCAAGACACAGTTATCCTGCTCATGGGGAATGCCATCTCCATCTGCATCTTCATCGCAGGCATCTCCAGTCCCAGTAGTGGAGTACTATGTCCAGCTGTGTTGGGTCCCAGAACAAGAAAGACATTGAGCGGTTTAAGTGGGTCTAGAGAATGGCCACAAAGATGATCAGAGGGCTTGTCAATGATTTATGGGCTGATTTGGCCCCATTCTGTGGGCCGTGACCAGTGGAGTGGAGGAAAAAGGAGATCCGTACCTCCAGAAAAAGGGATAAGGGAAAAAGGGTAGCAGCAACAATCTGAGGAGAATCAAACTGATTTACTAAATAGGATATTGAAATGCAAGACAACACTCTATAATACAATATAATACAATATAATTAGAATTGGAGCTAATAAATCAAATATAATGAGAGAAAGAGTATCCGAAAGCTGAAAGCCTTACTCTGATGTTGAGGCAAGACATACTATCGGGTGGAGCAGCAGGGAGGAGAGCCTGGTCTTGTGACCTTGCCGGGGGCTTTACCTCCCCTCTGGCTTATTATTTGGTGTTCTTCATATTACACGCTACAGTAGTTCATTGGAATCCTTGTGAGTGCTGTTTTCTCTTAAACTGCTGCTTAATGCTGCTTATTTATTCTTGTATCCTTTTTAGTAATTTAATATTCTTAAAATTTGAGTGCTAACAATTTAGTGAAGTCCACTAAATTGTTTCAGTTTTTGTTATGAGGTAATTATTCACCCTTTTCTACCCCCTTTCTCTGAGCAGCGTAGTGGAATGGGGAGTGGGAGCTGCGGTCAGTCCATAATGCTTTGTCTCTGCCACTCCTCCATGGTCACTATCTGTCCCTTTTCCATGTGGGACCCCCGCCATTGGATGCTGTTCTTCCCAAACTAATCCTTCTTGGGCTTCCCACAGGCTGTAGCTCTCCTAGCGCTGCTCCAATACAGCTTCGTACTGTGGAGCCTATCCTTCAGGCACTGCTCCACACAGGTCCCCATAGGCAGCATCTCACCCAGTCTTCCTGCCCCACTGCAGGAGGCTCCTCACGGGCTGCAGCTCCCGTCCAGAATGCTCCTGCAGGAGTGCCCATAGGCTGTGTGCCCTCCAGGCCTCATCCCCTGCTGTTCCATGGGCTCCTCCGTGGCTGCATGGGGAGATCTACTCCATATGGTACCCACAGGCTGCAGGGAACTTCTGCTCTTTGCCTGGAGCTCCTTTGCCTTTCTCCTGCACTGACCTGGGTGCCTCCAGGACCACTTCTCTTCCATTTCTCATCCTTCTCTCCAAGCTGCTGTTGTGTAGCAGTTCTCTCTCTCCTGTATCTGCTCTCCCAGCATGCACCCATTGTTGCTCATGGCTCAGCTCTGGCAGTGGTTCCTTGTTTTATTTTATGAACTGTTTTGTTGGTTTTTTTTTCCCCTGTAGTATGACTGTAATTTTTTCCTGTAATGTGAAGAAAATGTAGTGGTATTTCAGAGATGTTCTTTATGAGACTGATGCTAAGTGGTACTTTGTTTTTCCCCAGCTAATCTTCCAGTACCAACTATTGCTGCAATCGATGGAACTGCGTTGGGTGGTGGCCTGGAACTTGCTTTAGCCTGTGACATAAGAGTGGCAGGTAAATTTGTTAATTAAATGAAGGATTATTAGTATTGCAGAAGGCTTAACTACCCTTTGCCTGGACAATAGTCTATAGAAATGACTTTGTTTTCCAACATTGCTTATGACCAATTACTTAAAAGAGATTTAGCAGAAACTTGGCTGAAATATTTGCTAGGAATTAATTTCATAACTCTGAGCACTGATAGAGTATTTTTTACTACATTTTATTTTATTATTTTTTGCTTTAATAACATACTTCTAATGTGAAAATTATTACTGTACAGAACTTGCCTTGCTGGGATATTTAATAAAGGCAGATCAATTAAATCTATTAGAAGATTTTTCATAAGACAGTGCTTATGTTTTGATTTGTTGTTCTTTAATAAGGAAATGTAACAAATTAACATTCTTGCAGGACATTATTACATATTTTGCAAATTGCTTTTCTGTAGACTGTAGCAACAACTCAGACTTTTATTTTTTTAGCCTCTTCTGCTAAGATGGGCCTGGTTGAAACGAAGTTGGCAATCATTCCAGGTGCAGGTATGAAATTTTAGCTGTTGTTACCATGTAGAATTAATCAACATATGCTCTTGGTACTTGATTTCTATCTGTAAACTTCAGCTTATTTTCATGTCTCCATTAGGGATGGTTGGCCTGTTTTTTAGCTGACTGCCTATATTAGTTTCTAAAAGTTAATTAAGAAATGTTGTACTCACTGCAAGGGATTAGCATTTTTATTTTCAAAGTTATATTAAATAACTAATTATTAAGTGATTCTGTAAGTGAAATTTGATGTCTTGATCTGAAAGCTGAGCAATTTTGTTGAAGGTCAGACTAGGAAAAAAGGTACCATTAACTGTCAGTGTACAAAAGTGGTAATTTAATTAATGATCCACTTTTATGTGCTGTCTGATACTTTAGATTGCATGTTCTGTTTTCATGCTGCTTGTGGACTGAATATAAGGAATTTAAAAACAGAAAAGATAACGGAAAAAGATATTTTATCTTGCCAAAAAAATTGTTGTTGGGTGTTTTTTTTTTTTTGTTTTTTTTTTTAATGTTTTTAATGTGGAAGGCCAGTTCACTGGCTTTTTCTGGATTCATGATGAATTAAATTTAATAAAGTTACAGAATAACTAATATTTGCTTAGGGCTTTATGTTATGAATTCTTGTGTTTGGATTTTTTTAAACAATTCCATGGTTAAATAATTTTCATTTAAATTAAAATATCTGCCTTTCTGGGGAAAGGGTAGTACCTTGAAAACAAATGTATCCTCCTGACCCCCACCTGGCCTTGGCCATCGTTTTTTGCAGTTTTGGGAAACCTCCTTTATACCTGTTTGTTTCCTAATGGGTGGTAAGTATTTTGGAAGCACTTATTTAAGTATTTAATTCTAAGGACTAGTGCTGGAGTTCAGGTAGAGAGTGAGAGTTAAAAATACCTTGATCATAGCATTGATATGAACTTTGTGTAAGAAACAGTCTTATCCTATTACCCATATACAATGATTGTACAGTTTCATTTCAAATGCTTTTTTTAATTGCTATTGTTGAGTTGTGATTTCAGTCAATACTTTCTCCCTGTCTCTTCTTTACCTCTGAAGTCAGAGCTACAATTTGCTTAACGATAACGGAATTAGTGACCGTACTCTTTTTAGCAGACAATAAAGATGAATTACGTAGTTGATTTTAAGGATATATTTTCTTCTGGTGTTGTTGTCATGAGATATTGTTCCTTTGCAATTATGTCCAGGTGAAGAAAAAGACAGAAAATGCAGTTGTTTCTTTGCATTTTTTTTTACTTGATTGGCCCTTCATTCCACCCTTTCCCAAGCAATTGTGCAGGACAGTATTGAGGGCATACTGTCCAGGAAATTCAGGTCAAGCTGTTCAGATCGTCTCAATGTTCAACTTACTAAGCTTGTCTCGTTTCCATACTTTGTGTTATTTATAGATGTTTCAAATTTGTAATGCTTTCAGCTTACAATGCTAAGCAACTGACTCATCGTGAGTTCTGCTGAAGGATTCATTCAGAACGTTTTACTGCTATCCAGACAGTGGTTTGAAAATTCTTTTGTTTTACGCATCCTAATCATGCTCTGAAGATATTGTCTTCACCTCCTTGAAAATACAGTGTATTTTATCATTTTATCATTTTACCATTCCTGTTAAAATTGTGAAATTTTAGGGTATGTTCAGTGATTAATTTTTCCTTGCTCCTATCAGCCTAACAGGCTATTTTTGATGACTGTATTTCGTCTTAGCAGAACTTTTCTTGATCAGCCTGTACTTGCACCACCCTTAATAACCACTGAGAATGTTTTAGTCCTTTTCAGCTTCTGTCTTCAAACCAGTAATTCGTCATGCCTTATGTCTTTAGAAAGTAAAGAATGAGTAGAGGAAATTTGTGTATGTAATTTAGAGAAAGAAATCAGATAGGACCACTTCAATCTTAGGCTTCATGGGTAAGTTGAACATTTTCTTACAGGGCTTACTTCTAGCTGCCCTGAGGGAAAGGAGGACAGGGCAGTGGAGCTGGAAAGAGAAATTTAGCCACTAAGACATGTCAGTAGCTTTCTGCTACCATCTAGCACATCTGAAACTCAGCAGCAAACTGTGTTGCTTCTTTTTCTGACAAACTACTTCTATTTTATTCTACTCCATTATCTGTCATGAGTATGCAATAAATGAAAAGATTTTAAATCAGATGATAATTAACATGATTGTGGTCATATGAAAGTTTTCTCTATGTTGTTTTCTTTTTTATAAGTTACATACTAAAAGATGTAGTAAAAATGTGTTATTAGAATTTAGCAGTCATGTATTAAAATATCACAGATAAGTAGTGATGTTTTGGAACTTGTGTACTGTGTTGCATTCCATCTATTTTAAAATGGGAACCTGAAAAGACTCGGTCCAGCAAGCAACTAATTTTAATAGAGATTTCCCAAATATGACAAATTTTGCTTCTGAATATGCACTGATGTTCTGCACCACTGTAAAGTTTAAACAGTGATTAATTGAATCCTGGTTAATATACAGTGATGAATTGTTGCTTCTAAGCCTGCTAACAAAGGAGGCATTCATAGAGCATACCTTGTCTGTGCTAGCAACTCAAGTCTCACAAAAGTGCAATTCATGATGGACAGCAGAGCAAGAGTGAGTATGTCAACAGTACCTCCTTTTCTGCTTTAGTTTTGTGTACAGACAGCTGCACAGAATATGATGGAGAAAGATTCAATCTCTTTCCTTTAGAAATTTAAATCCAGTTCTCTCTCCACCATGAAAAAAGCCTTATCTGCCTTATGCGAGCTGGGGGAGATAGAAAATCTTAACATTTTTCCTACCTACTTCCCTCAATCTCGTAAGGAAATTGAGATTCAGTGAACTAGAGGAAGTGCACAGATAACTCAGTGATAACTCAGTGCTTTTGCTTATTTTTAGGGCCACTGAGATGATCACAGGGCTGGAGTACCTCTCCTATGAGGAAAAATTGAGGGAACTGGGACTGTTTAGCTTGGAGAAGAGAAGGCTCCGGGGAGACCTCATTATGGCTTCTAGTACTTGAAGGGAGTGTATAAACAGAAAGGCAAACAGCTGTTTACAAGGGTGGACAGTGATAGGACAGGGGAGAATGGTTTAAACTGAGACAGGGGAGGACTAGGTTAGAAATAAGGAGGAAGTTTTTCACACAGAGGGTGGTGACACACTGGAACAGGTTGCCTGAGGAGGTTGTGGATGCCCCATCCCTGGAGGCATTCAAGGCCAGGCTGGATCTGAGCAGCCTGGTCTGGTGGTTGGCGACCCTGCAGGGATAGCAAGGGGGTTGAAACTTGGTGATCGTTGTGGTCCTTTTCAACCCAGGCCATTCTATGATTCTATGATTTTCTTTGTAACACTGTAGTTCTGTGCAGAACTCAGCACAAAAATTGTATGCTTTCTCTTTCTGTTGTTACTTCCTATAATTAAGTAAAAGGGGAGCAGAACTCTTTCAGTAAGTGAATGTAGTTTCTGATGTCTTTCTGTGTGAAAAGTGTTTCGTGGTGGGAAGTTTCTCCTTAGTTAAAAAATTGGAACATTTCTCTCTATCGTCCTTTGTTTTAAAACTATCTTCATCCATAACTTATTTCAGTTTTTTTTACCTCTAGTCTTCTATAATGGGTCTACAACACATACATTATGCCTTTCTGAAAAATCTGCTTTTATTTGTTAATATCTTATTTGAATACCACTTAGTAACAGTTAAGAGGAGGTACAAATGTTTGTAAACAGCATACTTAAATTTTCTTAATGTGTTAATAGAAAGAGATAGGATTGGTGAGGATGAGAGAGATGCTCTGTGTCAGTAGAAACTGGGAAAGACAGGTACGTATACACAAAAATAATTTGGATTTGTTTCATGCATGCAATTCTTTTCATATAAATTTTATGTATAAATACGAGGCATTAATATACGCTGACACTTAGTCTTCCACAAAAAAAGACAACATAAAATTGAAATTAATACATTCATGTCAGCAGATAAGACCCAGCTACATTAAAAATGTAGCTAATTATTTTGCTGCATACTTACAGCTTTTCACTTCTCTTTTCTGTTTATGAAGCCATTTTAAGTAGCAAGGCTCCGTTCAAATCATCAAAGCAAATTTTACTTTTATCCTACCCTTGTACAAAAAAGAACTGTGGAATCATAGAATATGGCAAGGGAGAAGGAATCCATAAGGATCAGTGAGTCTAACTCCTGGCTTCACACAGGGCCACCCAAAAATCACACCATATGACTGAGAGCATTGTCCAGACGCTTCCTGGACTGCAGCAGCTGGGAGCCATGGCCACTGTCCTGGGAAGCCTGACCCATGCCCACCGCCTTCTCCTTACATCCAGCCTGACCATCCCCTGTTACAGCTCCATGCCATTCCCTCTGGACCTTCCCCTTTATTTGCTTATCATTCGTCCCTACCCAGTGGCTCTCAGCTGTGTCATTTGCAACTAGCTGCTCTCTTCAGTGCAGCTCCTCCTTCACAGCACTACCCCTTTGCATCTCCTGCCTCGCCTGTTTCTGGTTCCTCATGCTGTGTGCTTTGGTGTCAAAGCATTTCAGATGTGCTTCATAGCATGTTGAACTGCTTTTTTCTTTAATATATACTGCATAGGAGAGCTTTAGTGGAAGCATTTATATGTCTCCTTCTCTCCACTTCAGAAACAGTATTGCTTTGACTGTTTTTCTAGACTTTAAAATGTGTTTGGGGAAGTTACGATACTAATGAATTTTGAAAGTGAGAGGGGAACACACAAGAAATCAGTTTTCTTTGCACGGGAAGAAAACAAGAGTGAGAATGAAAACTGAGTTTAGGTAATCATTACATGTTCTCTGTATTTCTTAAATTGTTCATCATTCACTATTAAAAACAATGTGAAAGTTTCTGTTACAGGATTTATTTTAATATTGAAAAAAAAAAAACCCTCTTTTGGATGAGAAAGGTGTCAAGGGAATTTCCAGATGCAAAAGACTCCTACAGAATGCAATATTGCTAAGAAC